AACTACAATTTAATGTTGTATAAATGACCTAGGAAGTTATACGAAAAAAATAGAATTGAAAAAAAATATGAAACAAATTTTGTGAAATAGAAGTTATAGGAAAAAAAATATGAAACAAAATTTGATTCATATGAAAAGGAAAAAAAAAGGGAAAAAAAGAAGTTTAAATTCATTAAAAAGGGAAAAAAAGAAGTTTAAATTCATTAAAAAAAAAAGAAGTTTAAATTCATTAAAAAAAAAAAAAAAAGAGGCCTAATAATCCAACGGCTACTAGCCGTTATATTCAAAAGCATTTCAAACTATTAGTGTCGGTTATAACCGACACTAATAGTAGAACTATTAAAAAAAAAGAATACCTTTAATGCTGTCGGTTATAACCGACAGCAATAGGAAATCATTAAAAAAAAAATAGCCAGCCAGGGGCTGGCTGGCTGGCCGAAAGCAGCCAGCCCTCCAGCCCTCAAGCCCTCTCCGATCCCGTGGGGCCCTCCCAGATTCCAGAGCCCTCTGGCCTAGCCCTCGGTTGGAGACGGTTTTAGGGCTATTTTCGGCCCTCTGGCCCTCTGGACCCTTCGGTTGGAGATGGCCTTAGAATTTATGGCCCAGCCTGGGGCTGGCTGGCTGGCTGGATTAGGCCAGCCGGTTGGCCCTTTGGCCCTTTTAGATTTCGTGGGGCCCACAAGCCCTCTGGCCTAGCCCTCGATTAGAGACAGTTTTCGAACTATTTTGGCCATCTGGATCATTCGATTGGAGATGACCTAACGAATTAGTTGAGATGGTGGTTATTAATAATATATAGTCTGCAGAGTCTAGAGTTGATCCCAAGGTTTGAGAGACAACGATGAACATTTTAGCAAATCACATAATTAAAGAAGTTTTGTTTTGATTATCTTGGGCTGTGATTTTTTTATTTCTTTCTATAAACTTATAAGTGGGAGGAAAATATTAACATTTAAAATATCAAGGGTGAGATGAATAGGTTCGATTTGAAAATCACTCTTTTAGCTTCATTTTGGGTTACCACTCAAGAACATTGTAACGAATTTAATTTTTCCTGTAAAACAATGTAGAGTTATGTAAATAACTTGCAGCTTAGTTGGCTACGCATGCAGTTTCCCTTCTCCCAATATTGCTTGCAAAACGAAACAATACATAAAGAGTTGCAAATGAGTTGGAATCTTTTCTTAAGTTAAAAAATCAGGGATCGATCTAAGTGACTGTCTCGTTGGAGCCAAAGCTTGTACACAGTTAAGGGTTTATAAAGACGACAAAAGTACAAATTAAATGGCTAGTTTCAATGTACCTGGCTTCTTTTGGCTGCAACTGGCGATCGAAGAGACTAAACTCTTATCAATTCAAGCAGTCAACGTAAACAATTGAACAATCCAAAAGGATGCCAGTTGAATTCAAATCCTCATCAACTAGTACTCTAGTAGTACAAACAACTGTTTCTATTGACCCAAAAAACATCATCTTCTTCTGACTCTGAAGGATGTCGTGCAATGGATGTTCAGCGTGTGGTATGGTGATATGTAGCAAGTTGGATTTTTTTTCTTTTCTTTTTTTGTCTGAATCCTTGTATTCCTAAAATATTAGGAGAGCCCGATTGCACATCAAGATTCAGACCGTGGCTGCCAAAAACGACCTACGTCTTACTCTGCTCAGAGCAATTGAAAAAGGAGCCATGCCATCAATAAAACATCACCTCCCTCCCTCCCTCCCTCCCTCCGGGCGCGTGCCAAAGTACATGAGTCAAGAAAACCCAATTAATTATTAGAACGGTTACAATTCTCTAACGAAGAAATTAAGAGAGAATTTGGAGGTTTCTCGAACTAAGTCTTAAGTGTTGATAGACATCCCAAATTGAGCCAAAAGATGTGACACTCAGCTTGTTGTTGGATGTAGTGAAAAAGTGGTAGAATTAAAATGCACCACTAAAACCCATTCTAATAAAAACGAAAAGTAAGGCTAAGAGAGAGATTATATACGATGAAAAGCACATTGTACTAAAATTATAACATCGTTATTTTTTCATATTATAACACGTAGATTATAATACAACATGTTCTTTGAATATTTTTTAAGAATTTGGAATGAATAGTAATATACAGTGACATATTCACTGTGTTTAGTTGTTTATAATCATGTGTATAAACTACAACCTAGATCTTTCTATTTTTCTGAATATTGTTTGTTTAAAAACCAAATTAAGGTTTGAAGTTGGGCTTCTTTTGTTGACAAATTCTAAACAAAAACGGAAAAGGAAATTAAAAACCAAAGATGGCAGTAGTGTTGCTTTAGTTTGAGTCCATGGTGAGCACTGAGCATGCCAAATAGCAATGGCAGCTGGTGTGTATATGTAAAAGCTTGTGAGCAAAGTAATGCCATTGGTATATGTTTGTCGGTTGTCGGCATGTGCAACTACTGCATGCCGATACGGATGCTCTTCTAAAATGGTGCACCGACTTGCAAGTTTAGCAGCAAATCTTTGTCGTCTGAACCACACCGCAACTCCCCAACCCCCACTATCCAGCAAACAAGCAAATAAATTAAAGAAAAAGGTATGCTGGTCGCTGGTTGTCGTAGGGAACAACTTATATAGTACGACACCGTTATAGTGTTATTATGTGTCAATAATACAAAGACATGATAAGAGAGGAATTAACATATATCTTTGTATCACATGTTTCGGCATAAAATATTACCATGACGGTATATATTTGCCGGTTCTTCGTCCGAGCGCCCTGAATGAATAAGAAATGGACAACATAGGTAAGGTAATCAATGACTCTTATTCAACCGAGTTGAAGCTAGCAACTTGTCGATTGTGTAAGAGGTTGGTAAGAGCTGGGGTAAATGCCTTCTTAGCAATGGATTCAACTCCTGTTGATAAAAAAATTACAAATCATTTTCTTGTTGCGTGAGCGGTCTAAAACAAGATTTAAGTTTTATATAAGCAAAATAATGTCAATAGAGAGATGGTGTTAGATATTAAACCTTGATGGCGATCGACACGAGAATGTTCTCCACATTCTATACATTTTTCTTCTAAACAAGATTTAAGTTTCATATAAGCAAAATAATGTCAATAGAGAGATGGTGTTAGATATTAAACCTTGATGGCGATGGACACGAGAATGTTCTCCACATTCTATACATTTTTCTTCCAAAGAAAATAAATACAAGTATTTAATTAAGCAAAATATCCAATAATTCGGAAGACAACTAATTTATATTCCAAAATAGGATAGGAAGGACAAGTCTTGGCCCATGACAGAGGCGGTGTGGTCGAATTAATTTGTTGGTTTGCTTATACATTCGAATTGTTTTTAAAATTGGACAAAAAAGTAAAACCAATCTTTTCTGATTTGGGAAAGTGACAAATCCAAAGTTCCAATTTGATCAATGCTTAAAGCATGCTTCCATCCCTTTGAAGCTCCAATTTAGCACATGAACTTTGAGTCTCATGTCATATCTTTCTTAATTTCAATCTTTGTGTGCTTTAGGGTGAAGAAATCTTCGAGTTAAAGTAAGTGAATTGAAAGAGATTTAAAACGTGTCATTCTAGAAAGATTTTTTTTTAATAAACAATATTATCTACACTGTGTTAGAAAGAATTTTTGAGTTCATAGGGCAACTTTCTATTATGATGGAGTCTCGTTGTTTTGCGAAATTAGTCAAATAGATCACTTGTTTGGTCGACTTCACCCAATATGTTACCCTATGATGGTGGATTATTTTTTCTTGTTTATTTCTATTTGTACATGGCCATGTATCATGTTATATGGTTACCTTGTGTGTGTCTATTTCACACCACGATCTCTACAACTATGTGTCAAGCCATCTCCGGCCCAAAGTTGTATGCCATTTTTATCCCGCAAAGTTCGTCTCAAGTAGAGGGGTATATCCTAGTCAACAATGGGGCTCAAGCTATCCTAGTAGACAGAGGATGGCTATAAGTAGCCTTCTCGTTAGATTTCTTATTTAACAAAGGTTTTTGTAGAGGTTCCGTTCGGCTTCTTGTATCTTCCTACACTCTAAATACAATAACTATTAGGGAATTGTTATTAGCACTCTAAAAATTTCATTTTACACTGCAAACTTTCTATATTAGGAAAGAAAAATACACTTATGAGGAGTCGAATAAGATTTTTTAGAATGCTAATAATACTTTTTTAACTATTATTGTATAACCTTGTACCAGTAGAGATGGAAAAGATATAGTTGAGGTTAAATGTAAAAAATAATATTTAAAAAAATTGAATCGCAATCCGCTGTATTTTTTATTCTTAAACTGCTCATGACCTCATGTCATGGTGATGAATCATATGTTAATCTTTTTTGATAAATAAAAAAATTTAAAATCAAATATGCACTACTATACGTTATACCGTATAAAGTTCATATCTCTTTTCACATGGTAAATTATGTCTTATCTTTCATTATATAGTAATATTTTAAAGAAAAAAAATATACGAATTTTGTTTAATTAAGTTTGTTGTTTTTGTTATTTAATCTGATTTTCAAAAGATAACGAATAATAGTCAGTCTTTTGAAAATTACTGAGCGTGAGAGAAACAACCTAGTAGGAAGTTGGCTAATGCTAATTGTAACTAGAGAGAGAGAGAGCAAGGAAAGAAATTGAAAGGCATCCCCCATTGCCCAAAACCATAAGCATCAACGCCAGTCGCTTTCAATCCGTTCGGTCCGGAAGGAAGGCCCTCAAACACTCCTCTCTCTCTCTCTCTCTCTCTCTCTCTCTCTCTCTCTAACTTTGAACAAAAGAATGGTAAGGCGGTGCCAGACACCTTGAGCTAAACCAATACCCATTCGCTTTTCATTTTCCTCAATGACTGCTCTCTCTCTCTCTCTCTCTCTCTCTCTCTCTCTCTCTCTCTCTCTCTCATATGTGTGATGTGTGGACCCTACCCAAACAGCGGCGCCATTGGTCTTTACTTGGTTTCCAAGCTCACCCACCACCCCCGCCCTCCTTCTCTCTCTCTCTCCTCTCTCTCTCTCTCTCTAGTCTCTACAGTCTGCTCTGCATGCCATATCATATCATAACATTTCATCCTCATCCCATATATTTATTATAAATAAATCCAAATACCACCTCTCCCCATCTCTCTTCCACTTCCTCCTCCTCCTGCCCCCCTCCCTCCCCATCAACTTCGTAACCCCTAAATCCTCCCTCTCCTTCCCCTTTATTTAATTCATTTCTCTCCCTAAAAACCCACCAATCACTTTACCAACCTCAGTTCAGCAGCTAGAGTTATATTTAAATAAAAACCCAATAAATCCCAAAAATAAAAAAGAAAGAGGGAAGAAGGATAAACAAATATGAGAGGTGAGTATGTTGACAGCAAGAGTGACTCCCAAAACATCTTCTCCAAGCTTCACCACCCAAACCAACAAAACCCCCACCACCACAACTTACACCACCACCCCCACCAATTCTCCAGCCCCTTCCAAGTCATCCCCCACCGCGAATCCCAAACCTCCGAAGAAGAAGACACCAGCCGAACCAGCAGCGGCACAGCCACCGTCACCACCACCAACCCATCTCCCCACAATCCCCACCCCAACTCCTCCTCCGACCCCAACAACATCAACAACCCATCTGCCGATGGCGCCACCATTGAAGTCATCCGACGGCCCCGAGGCCGCCCACCTGGCTCCAAAAACAAACCCAAGCCCCCCGTCATCATAACTCGCGACTCTGAGCCTCCAATGAGCCCCTACATTCTCGAAGTGCACTCCGGAAACGACGTGGTCGAAGCTGTCTCCCGCTTCTGCTCTCGCAAAAACATTGGGCTCTGCGTTCTCACCGGCTCCGGAACCGTGGCCAACGTCACCCTTCGCCAGCCGTCAACTACGCCCGGCGCTACGGTAACTTTTCACGGCCGTTTCGACATCCTCTCCATATCCGCTACTTTCCTCTCCCAATCGTTGCCGTCTTGCCCCGTCTCCAACCCCAGCGGCTTCACCATCTCTCTGGCGGGCCCGCAGGGCCAGATCGTCGGGGGCCTCGTGGCCGGAGCCCTAATAGCCGCAGGAACCGTTTACCTAGTCGCCGCGTCGTTTAGCAATCCTTCTTACCATCGGCTCCCCGTGGAAGACGAGGTGGTGAGGAACTCGGTTGTGGGTGAGGGTCATTCGCCGCAGGTTTCTGGGGGTGCAGCGGACAGTGGGGGACACGCGCCACAGCCGTCACAAACGTGTGGGATGACCATGTACAGCGGTCACTTGCCTACTGATGTAATATGGGCTCCAACTGCAAGGCAACCACCACCTCCACCGCCTTACTGAAAACCTTGATGTCTCTCTTTTTCTCCTTTTTTGTATTCTGTCTCTAGTTACTGTGAATTAAGAAACTAGAAGCTACTTTTATTGTTTTTTTGTACTTTTGGGTACTTTACATTTTAAATTTCTTGTTTAATTTCTATGTGAATTACCGTTGCTATTCTATGTGATATTGGTTGTGTCTTTTCATGCAGGATTTTAATGTGAAGTTAGAATTTAGAAAGCTGTTTTTCCTATTAATTAATTATCATTTGGTACTCTTATTTTGTCACTCGTTTATAATAGGAATAGTTAAGGAGCTGTTATTGACATTGAAAATTAGTAATTGTTCGCGCTTCTCTCCTAATTTGAAACGTGAAACCGGAAGCATGATTATTTTAAAAGTGTTAATTACAGTTATTTATAACTATTTTAGAGTGCTAATTACTATTGTTATTCTATGTGATTTTAGTTATTGTTTATATGATTATCTGTTAGTGTTTGATTAAAATTTTGAAGGGGGATATCAAACCATGCAGGAATTTTATGTGAATTTTGAGGCTGTTTTTGTTATTAATTAATTACTATTTGGTACTGTTATTTTGTCAAATGTAAGTTATAAATTAGGGAGTGGTTGTTGACACTCTAAAATAGTTATCCTTCATGCTTCTCGTGTAGTTTTCAAATGAAAACTGAAATGAAAAACGTAAAACATGACTATTTTAGAGTCTTAATATTTTTTTATTTTAGAGTGTTAATATTTTTTTATGACTGTTTTAGAGTGCAATGGTAGTTAATGAATGTGGCAGTTATGTTACGGTCAAATGTAAGTTACAAGTTTTCAGCTGCTTGGGTGTGCTGTGAGCCTGTGGGGTGTCTTTAATGGGGTCTGGACCGGCTCTTTGCCTCTTGCCTCTTCGGCGGTGTCAAAAGTCGAAGTCGAAATTCAAAAGTGCTGTTCTTTTTGGCTTTTGATTGGTTTTGGAGAGAGAGAGGGAGAGGTATGGGGGTTTGTGGCTTTTGATTGCTTGAAGTTTGGAGCTGATTGCTCAATGGCTTGATGGGAAGGATGAGTTTCGAATGGGTGGGAGTACTATTTGATTCCGATGCTTAGCTGTTTTCTGCTCTGGCCTTCTGCAGAAGCAGAAGCACCACTGGCTCAAAGATAATGCCTGATTTTTTTTCTTTGAATTTTTCTAGATTCTGGATTTGGATAGAGTGTATGACAGTGATGAAACGTGGCTTAGGGTTTGTCATTTGCCAGTCCAGTCGGTTCCTTTTCATACACGCTCTTTCTTTTGTCCAACAGGTACACTTGAAGGAGCATTTTTCTCCCCATCACACATCTCATCTTAACAAGATGTATAATGAACTTACACTATAGTTATAGTGGTGAGGAAAAATGCTTCCAATACTTAAATGGTCTCTCCATGAATAGCATAAGACCATGTTAATAGTGAATCTCAGAGAAACATTGCATACGTTTAGGAGTTATACTGTTTAAAGAGAACTTTTTAAAAGAACATAAGCTATTGTGATGTTCCGTATCACCGATAGAACAATTTGTACAAATTTTTCTTTACATAAATTTATATTGACACATTACGACACGATAATTGAATCTACTGTGCCATGAACGTGTAGAACTTGGTCACACTACGTCATGAATTAATATAATTATCGATTCACGATCAGATGTGTTGTAATTATATTTAAGGATCATATCTAATTATTTATGAGTGATTTTTTCTTCAAAAAAGAAGATCAGCTGACAATTTTGCCACGATAATCTGTTTTTTTTAAGATTCGATATATCTATAGAGGCGTTTCAACCTCTCTCTCCATTATATTTCAATTCATCAACATCAAGAATCAAATTGAAATAGTGTCTTCTCCTATGACTTCATATTTTCTCCATATTGGTTTTTTTTATTATTTTAATTTCAGTCAAATATGAGTGCGTAGTTTGTGGTTTGTCACCATTTTACTTTGCTCCCCATCCTTTCCTTGATGGGAAAAAAGCAACATAATGAAAGCCAAAGCATGCTGGCTCTTCCCGAGCCTCACAAAAACCATATTATTTCATGTTTTCTTTTATATTTCTTGATTCTTGGAAGAAGAAGAAGAAAACAGAAGTTAGAAACACTTTATTTCATGTCATGTTTTGTAGTTGTTGCAAAGTGCAAATTAGTGTGGAATCTTCAATACTTTCTGCTTGGAACTGATCACATGAAATAATTGAAGGTGGGCGTACTCATATTGTACATGGTGTTTTTATTGTTGGAGTTTGAATAAAATTTCAACTTAAATGTGGGGTATTGTTGGAAATTTTGAGTTGAAAATTTCATTGTCCTACATTGACAATTCTCAAAAGGTTTTCTCACTTTATAAGACTTTGTCCCTTATAGATAGTGATTTGAGTGATGAACCATGGAAAATGAAATTGGGTTCAACCTTGGGGTTGGACTTTACAGTGTACTAATTAATTGATAATTAATTAATAATTAATATATAATTAATATATAATGATCGTGGCGAGTATCATTATATATATTAATTAATAATTATATATAATTAATTATCAAAAGATGGGTCTTGGCTCTTGGGGCTCTGAAGATTAAATTCTTTAATTCATTTCGAATTTAATTAAATAATTTTTTATATGAACATACTCATTTTTCTAGATGAAGTCTGAGAGCGTATGAAAATATTTGAGAAACAGATGGAGCAACACACCTTTTGCGTTGAACAGTCGCCTCCCAAAAACATATCTGTTGCGAACAGACATATGCTCACTATAAATACATGCATTTGCATGTCATTCAATTCACTGAAAATCATCAATTCTTATATACCAAGCATACTGAGAGTACCACAAAGAAATTTGCCAGAAGTCTAGTTTTCTGATGCTAAAATTCTAACTTAGATCATTGAATCCTGGTGAAGCAGACGTCCATAAAACTACAAGCACTGAGTAGGGACGAAATGTCACAGCCCATCCCGAGAATTAATTATCGTGGTTGTGAAAAGACCGATTTACCCTTGAGCGTTGGATGTGTGTTTGTGTTTTGGGTTAAGGAATTGGGTCAATTAGTTCCATTCCTAACTAATTGGACCCAATTAGAACAAAAGGATTAAACAAATTTGATTGGTGTGTATTTTTGGACCACACACACATCCATACCCATTTCTCTCTCTTCCTCCCGTGCTATCTTTCTATCTCTCAGACTCTCTCTCTCCCTCTCAGCATTGTGTACGGACAAACACCAAAACCCATTCAAACTTCATAGATCAAGGACGTTGAAGGTACCATCGTGTTCCTCGCAAGCTCAGGAACACATCTAGACCATTTTCAGCTCACATGAAGCTTAAGGAGGTCCTCACGAGTCTCAGGGTACTTCGTTGAAAGGAAATGGACGTTGAAAGGCCGAGATCGAAGCTATTCTAGGCGAGACCTATCCAGAGGACGAGCGTAGCTAGGCTAGGCGTGGGGGTTACGACTCGGCTACATATCAGTGAATGGGCTTTTGTTTTCAGTATATATCTATATACGTGACATAGTTTCCCAGAAATGCATTTTAAAGGAAAGTATGCTTTGAAATAATATGCCAAATGCTTGTATGTTCTGAATATGCATTTCATGGTTGCATATATATATATGTTTGTGGTGCTATGGACGCTCAGGTAAGTACTAGGTAAGTTATGCTTGATTATGTGAACTACAAATGGCTTGATCCCTGTTTAGGGTACGTAGGCAGCCTAACGAAACGTTAGGTGCAGCCATGTCATAATTGTGATGAAAGGAATAGTGTGATGATCATGTTGATTGTTACATGAGATATGATTGAGAAATGATGAGCTCATAAACCTGCATCCCGGGTGATTGTGATTTAGCCAGAGAGAGTTGGCACAAGCTTGTATATTATGTCACCTCTCGCACCATATGCTCACATTGGATCCAATTTAGGTGCACAGTCTTATCGTACACACCACTATAAGTGGTTCCGACTCGTAGGTGACTAGCGATTTATTGCACAGCTAGCAATAGGGCGTAGCATTGAGCATAACTATATTACACCCAATCTTGTCGTACATACCATTTCAATGGTTTTGACTTGTGTGCAGAGTAGTGTCGTACAGGTCACATGAGGTGACTACAGCTAGATTGATTGATAAGTTATGAATTCATGCTGTACAGACCTCTGTAAGGGTTCCAGCTGATATGTTGTTTTCCATGAGCATACTACCACCTGTGTTACTTATTCTGTCATATATTTCTGGCATGGCATACTTATGATTATGATTATGTGAAGCATGATTGAATATATATACTTATGTTTGTACCATACTTAGGGCCTCTGTATTTAGATCTCGTATAAATACTCGGGGGACTTAAATGTAATTATGTAATAAATGAAGAGGCAAATATGTAAAAAGAGAAGGAACCCTTAGTCTATAAAAGGGCATCTTCACCCTAACAATCCAAGGGCTCTCATCCTCACATACAGAGGCCACAAAGCTCACAAACAGAGAGCTCTCTCAAACTCTCTCTTTCTTTAGAGGACTCCCCCTCAAACTTGTAATTCATACATTCATACAGAGAAGAGAAATACATCAGTGTGGACGTAGCCCAAACATTGGGGTGAACCACGATACATCTTGTGTTCTTTACTTTCTTGAAGATTCACGGTTGGATTTACGTTGTTCCAAGACCCCTCCGGTTTTGTGCATCAACATTTGGCGCCGTCTGTGAGAATCGACACAAAAAGCTATGTCAGTTTTCTTTCATTTTTTCATCTCACCACCGTGAGACCTCATCATTTTCCATCGTGGATCTGCAAAAACCTATACAGAGTCACAGCCACAGAGATAATAGACGAGATGAAGTTGCAAAGCGCAACAAATTCCCAAATTTCCCCACCACTGCCCGCAGACACCACCATGACTATAGATCCCAACCACACCACCGCTTCAGCCGCCGCCAACATGGCCACCGTAGGAGCTGCCGCTCACAACACAACCACGACGAGGCTGGTAAGACCTGCTGTATCATCTCATCTTCTTTCTAATCTTTACACAGCCCCATCCTTCCAAATTCGAACCCAATGGCCATCATCATCACCAGCAGCTGCTAATCATCAAGGGGTTCTGTACCCACTGGCTTCCTCTGGTCGAAGCTTTATTCATCGGCTCATTCGTCCCACCGCCGCCGCCGGCCAGCCGGAGATGAACCCGCACTCATTG